CCTGTCAAACAGTACCTAATATATTTGTTTAGTGGCTCGTGAAAAACCACTTTGGACTGCACTCGTTCAAAGCCAATTTTTATTTGACATACCGTAGAACGAGTTTCCATTCCGTTATCAGATGCAATTACTGAGAGGCGGTAATCCTTTATGGCTTCCATTTGTGGCATCTTGCGTTTTAAGCTGATTTCACCTTAAAGCGTCATTTACTACTTTATTACTAGAACTATAAGCTACAGAACGTAAATGCGATGCATAAATCTTGCAACAGAAATTTTGTTACAAATCAAACCTTGCTTATTTATGTCAAAATTGAGATCGGAATTCTGAAGTCGGTATGTAACGGTCCCATTCTCGCCATCATCTGGATCAATAGCACGTAAAGTACCGAAGACTTCTCCAACTTCCATATTATCATTGAATACGAAAGTAGATGTGTTAATGCATCTTGGCGAATTGTCATTGATATCAAGCAAGACTATTTCCAAAGTAGCGTTTGAAGAAAGCTGTGGCTACAATGCAAACAAATTATTTTTGACGTTCTTTCCGTTGTCAATTTGATGTCATGATGTTAAGTACTTGTACAAGGTAATTTTTCAATGACAACTGTATTTACTTCGCCGTGATCCATCGCACTTATTGTATAATTGTATACGCCTTTACGTTCGCGATCCAAGGGGTTCTTCACAAAAATACGCCCAGAAGACGAATGAATTCCGAAATCGTCATTTTCGCCCGAAATCTTGTAACGAACACGTGCATTTTCACCAGCATCAGCATCAATTGCTTTAATTGTAAAAATTTCAGCCATAATTTGGATATCTTCAGGTACCTGTAAAAAAGCTCAATGTCTTAGCGACGTGCAGCAGCGAAGTGGAAGAAAATGTCTTGTTTCTAGCGAATAAACTTTTTTAGTTACTAAAGAAGCTAGACTATTATTAGTTCGAATCGGTAATTATGTTGCACTTCACCAAAAATGACACTTTTGGTTTTAGACCCTCTTTATAATTCTTCGCTTAACAGAAAAACTTATACTTTTACTACATAGTGCTGAGCTTCAAAAACTGGTGCGTTATCATTGGCGTCCGCCACATTGATGATGACCGTTATGTCACTTGATCGGGGAGGGATTCCACGATCTTTCGCGCGGATAACAAGCTGATAGTTTCGTACTGCTTCATAGTCCAAATTTGCTGTCAGCATCAACTCACCAGTTAACGGACGCACGGAAACAGGACAGAGTGGATGTGTAGACACGATGAAATAGGTAATCTCACCATTCTAAACTGCTGTCATTTTATAAACTTAATATAAACATTATTCCAAATTGCTGTGACTCTAGCGTAAATAATCACTATCAGGAAACACCAATTGTTACCTTTTCATAATCTGCATCAGTAGCGTGCACGGCAAAAAACGGTGTATGGATTGGGAAGTCTTCTGGAACGTTCACCTCAACCCTATCCATGGCAAACACTGGATCGTTGTCATTCACATCAGTCATATCAATCAAAACTTGACTGTAATTTGTTCCACCGCCATTCATTCGTGCCTAAATATAGCTCTTATTAAGAAACTGTTGCAAAAATTAGTTTTCTCATGATTTCCATTATTTTACTAAAGCTTCAGCCTTCTGGTACCCCACTTTTTTAGCTATAAGTTTGTCAAATCAGGAAAGAATTAGCAAAGTATTTCATCACTTTTAACTAATTACAAATTATAACACCTGGACATTCAAAAGAATCGATCGTGATACATCTGCATCAAGCATTCGCCCTACAAGTATACGTCCGGTATCAGGTTCTACAGTGAACAACTGATGCGGATCGCCAGATCGGATGCTGTACCTTATAGGGTATGGACCTGCTGCTTCAATCTAAAATCACTTGTACACTTTACTGACTAAACCCTAGACTAGAGTTGCATAATTTCTTGTCTTACATTTCCTATTGCTATTCCAGGCAGGACATCTTCAGAAACAACAAGTTTATAAAGGCTTGAAGTAAACTGAGGTACCGGCACTGTTGGACTGACAACTGTGACATAAATATGAGCCTAAAATAGCAATTATAAAAACTGTAAAATGAAATAACTATTTGAAAGTTTGGTCATAAAAGAAATATTTTTTTTTTCTTCTCAGCTTCAAAGCAATGAACCTTTTCATCGCTGTAAAGACCTCCACCATCCTTGGCTTGTACAGAAATGTCATACTTTTCCCTTGTTAGCGGTCTTTTTACATACAGATAACCGGTGTTTGATTCTATATAGAAGTCGTCATTAGCGCCGTCAGCAATAAGGAATACAATCTAAAAGAGTTAGTTTGCACTAGTTAAATGTTCAGATAAGATAGTATTCTGAGCATTCAAACAAAGTCATTGCCTCTAATTTTTTGCTAAACCTTAGAATATTAAAAAAATTATTGACTAAAATACTAGATAACTTTTTAATTAAAAGTTTTGATTAAAGAATAGAAAAAGTTTGACTAACCTGGCCGTAGGCACCTTGATCAGCATCAGTTGCTGACAATAGTAGTACCAAGCTTCCAGCTTCAATATTTTTCCTAACAGCAACATAGTAATCAGATGGAGAAAAGACTGGCGTATTATCGTTAACATCTTCAACGTGGAAATTTACTATTGAATAACCTACTTGACCATCTGTAAACGTACTAGTCAAGTTTTTGCAAAGTAAATTGCTAGAAACAAAGAAGGACAATTAATAATATACAAATTAATCGAAATAAATTAACATTAAAAAAAAACTGAAAAAAAAAAGACTGAAAAATTTAAAAATTTTTAAAAAGAAAACAATTAATAAAAATTATAAGTTTTTTTAGATACTTTGATCGTTTGCAACAACAATTAACTGATATTTGGCAGCAACTTCATAATCCAATGGATTAATTACACAAATTTTTCCACGTTGTTCATCAATACTAAAAGTTTGTGATGTTGACGATTCTCGTAGACTATATCTTAGACCTGTTAGTGTACCACATGCTCCAGTAGCTGATACCTTCAAAAAAATTATCATTGCAATTATCATTAAAAAAAAAGAACAAAAATTAGTATTAAAAAAGATTCTTTTTTTTACAGCATTAACTATTTGTTCACCAAATTTTTCGATACAAAAATTCTGAATGTTTACAGTGAAATAAAGCCTGTTTAAGCTGTAACTGTAATATACAGTATCTGAATCTTTCAGAAAGAATGATCTTTGTAACATTTGTTTATGTATAAAGAAAAATATTGTATAAAATTATATTAATTTTTTTTTTCTAAAAAAAAAAATGTATATCTATTTTAGTGGTTTTTGCTAGCATGCAAAAAAGTTTTTTAGCATTATTATTAGTGTGTATTTTTGCTGCTTATTTAATAACTTAACAGCATAGATGAGATCAATACGTAACTGGAGATGTGTAACTATGGTTACTGAAATGGTTTTTTCTTTCTCACTAATGGTCAACAGTTGCCTATTGATTTCAGACGACTTCAAATCCTGCAGTCTTTTACCTCTGTAAAGATGTTTAGGCCACTGATCAACGGCAGTTGTGTTTAACAGTGATTTTATATGATTTAAAAAACAAAAAAAAAAAAAAAACGAATTTTTTTTTTTTTTTTTTTT